CTATGGACAAAATGCCTGGACAAGGAGAGAAGAGAAGAGAGAGAGGGAGGGAGGGAGGGAGGGAGGGAGGGAGGGAGAGATTGCTTAAAGATCAAGCAAGATGGAGACTGGAAACAGCCACTTGGTTTCAGTGAGCCAGTCTCCAGGAACAAGAAAGAGGTAAGTAATATTTGAGCAGAAGAAAACCTTGATAAGTATGAAGCTAATCTTCTCTGGGACTGACATGATTGAAGATGCTCCGGGGGCAGAAAACAAGACTTGCTCAAGCAGGGAGGAGGCAGAGATTCCAAGTGAAAAGGCAAACTGGCTGGGTCCTATAGTAAGACCAGAGCTGTTTGTCTATGGTTGAAAATGAGCTCAGGAGCCTAACCGTAATCCATAAATATCTAGGGAGAAAACAGGAGCTAAGAGGAAGTGTTCCTAAAACGTTGATTGAGGTTTATAATCTATGAAAGTCAAGGATTAGTCAGGATCAGTGAGATGGAGAAGTGAGCTGCAGGAAATCCCTTTTCTCTGAGGTAAAGTAAAAGTTACAAGGAAGGAACGCCTTTTGGTTTCAGATACACTCACCTGCCTATGGATCCTGAGAACCTGGATCTATCTGCTAATTGTTTCAAGGAACCTTTGGCCGATTTTTATATCAGAAATGTACTGTTTACATGCAAACTCCATTCATACATGTTTTGTTTTTTCTAAATTATTTTAGTCTCAGATCCTGTCCATTTAGATTTCTGTCCTATTCCCCTGATAGTATCTTATGGAAATTTTTTGTTTGAAGGGGTGTGACTATCAGCACAAAATGCCTTATTTCATCCAGCTATAATTCTCTGGGCATTTTATAACATAAAGATAAAAGAAAGTTTTCCTGTTCCTTTTCTTTTTCATATATTTAATAAATTAATTTTTAAATCGTACGATTGATGTTTTTTCTTTCAACTTCTACAAGGGCAAGGAACTGAGGCTACAGAGTTTATTTTCTATTACTGTCATGATCTTTATCATTTTATTACTCTTCCTACTTCATGGGAATAATAAAGCTACGAGAAGCTAATCTGTCTCACAAACTGCTGTGAAAGATTAGGAGCTGAAGAAAGACATTACCTTGCTCCTGAAAGTTAGGCGGTAACAGCAAGAAATTCTACATACCTAATAACTAAAGTAGGACTGAAGGGAAGTGCTTTTTTTATTCACACATCCCAATTTCAGTCCCATTAAGAGTACTCACAAAACCTGAAAACATAAAACAGTGTCATGTATTAAAGCAGTGCAACAAGATATACCTACACTAGTGCACGTTTAATTATAATATTTTATAACATCATTCTCATTGTCCTCATGAGCAATTTATATACAGGCCAGGAAGCCACAGTACAGACAGACTATGGTGAAACAGACTGGCTCACGGTCAGCAAAGGAGTATGATAAGGCTACATATTCTTGCCTTATTTATTCAAACTTTACGCTGAATATGTATTAAGGAAAGCTGGAAAATGAATGTGGTTTTAAAATTGGAGGAAAGAATCTCAATAACCTGTGCTATGCTGGTGACGCTACCATGATAGACAAAAATGAAAAGGATCTGAAAGCCCCAGTACTAAAAGTCAAAAAAACACCATGAAAAAAATGGGATCAAAATTAAAAATAAAAAGTTCAATCTAATGAGAACAGGTAGAAAAACCAACCTTAGAACTGAAATGAAATGAAGGTATCAAAGTGGGGGATACCTTCTGCCTTCTAGGATCAATAGTAAAGAAACAAGCAATCCAGAAATGAGCCTGCAGAACAAACACTAAATAGTCATAAGAGCCTTGGAAAGCATAGTCAAATGTGATGTGTCTATTCCAATAAAATTCAGAATAGTACAAGTCAAGATATTCCCCATGACACTCTATGGAACTGAAAGTTGGACTTTAAAGAAGCAAAATAGGAAGAATTTGAATTTGAATTTTGGTGTTCGGAGAAGGTTCCTGAGAATAATGTGGAAAGCTGGGAAAACAATCCTATATAGATCATTGAACAAATCAACCCAGAGTCCTTACTCAAGGCACAAATGACAAATTATCCTATTTTGGACACATTATGTAAAGACCCAACTTTCTTAAAAAGGCTCTAATGGTGGGAAAGGTAGAAGGAAAGAGAAGATGATGAGCAGCAGCAAGGTGGATGGATTCAGTTATACAACGATCAGTGCACCTTCAGGAAGACTTGAAAGAACAGATTGGGGATAGAAAATCTATCTATGTGGTCACTAGGAGTCACACAATCAATCAATCAATAACAGCATTTTCCAATACAATGTTTCGTGATATGCTGTGACAACAATTTTCATTACTTTGAAGAAGACGAATTTTTAAAGATTTAGGAATAAATTTGTTAAGTTTTCATAGGTAATCCTCATAGCTACTAATAATTACTCAAATACTGAATCATACTTCAATTAATCATCCGTCTAGCTTCATCACATTTTCAGAATTGCTCATGCTAGCATATTTTTATCTGCATTGTGTTTTACTATACAAAACCACTGTTCATACTTAAGATTTCACTTATTGAGAATTATAAAATCCATGTAAACAGAAACATTTTGTGGAAATTTTATATAAAATTAATTTTAATGTTTTCATTGACTAATGAATCAGTAACTGATTTAAAATTTGTTGTTTCCAATTAATTAGGCAAGAGCTTTTGGTTGTTGTTGTTATTTTCATTAAAAATGAAAAATTATAAAAAAATACCTTTTTCTCCCATTCATTGTTCAAGGAATCTGTACTATGTTCACATAACTTTTTTAACTCCAGAATTTGTTTCTCTTGAGCTTCTCTAATAACTTGTGACTCACGAACAAGTGTCTGAACTGTCAGAAAATAAAAGCAACAAAATAAAGTACACGAGATGATAGTCGGGCTATTCTCTTTAGCAAGAGAGAGGTATGTTATTGCTGATTTCAATAATTTTCAAGCATTGTTCTTTAACATACAGTATGAAAATTGACCTCAGTTATCTTTTAATACAAAATAACTGAAAGTTTATAAAACAACCTTAAATAAATTCATAATGTTTGGAATAATATTCTGATTGAATTTTATTTTAAAAATTAATTGTTTCTTCTATTGTGTCTTACCAAATTTTAAATATATTTTTTAAAAAATCAAACATTATTTCACTGCCCAAGGCTTGAATAGACTGGATGACAACTACTAGTCTGTAGATTATCTCTATATCTATAATTACAGAATATAAGAGAATTTTTATTACTGTCACTGACCAGTATTGAAAATAGAAATACTCTAAAAATAAAGTTTAAAAAATGATAAAATTTTAAAATTGATGATGGGTTCATTGGTGTTCAATCCAAGTCTGCCTAATTTTACAGGCAATATAACAAAATTTAACTATGTTCAAGAAGATTAAATCAGCTCCAAGATAAAAAGTGAAGCAACATAATTTTGCTGTGAGTTCCCACTGACCCCTATAGTGAAACACTAGAAATAGCAACTTAGAACAGCTCTTCCAAGCTAGGAACGTATGAAGTTGAGTACTTTATACATATCCTATAACTCTAATAAATAATTTCTATTTAAACATCAAGCAAGCAAAAAATATGAACTACATAGAACTGTAATAGCAAAATGACAACACAATCTTTTGGGAACTGGGAATGTCAATGCAACTCAAGCCAGACACAGCCTGATGAAAGCACAAGAAAGAAAACACAATATTCAAATTGCCACTTCAAATTTTGGATGATACAAGAAGAGCCAAACTGGATTAAACTAATGTCATGTTTAGTCCAGAATTCTGTTCCCACAGTGAAAATGTTTCCAATGAGCTCCTTTTTGTGCTTCACATTAACTTGTACCAAAAATAATGTTTTTTTCCCCCTAAAGTAACATAAAGCAGTTGAGATTAAATCTTACCCTTTATGAATCTGTCAACACTTCAGGTTAGTTACCTTCATTATGATACCATTATGCTTGTAGTATCACATTCATACAATAAATACATGCATTAAAATATATGTAATTTATTACAATTTTAACAAATCAAGTTTATTTATATCCAGGTGTGAGAATTATAGTGAATCTCTGATGAGGGATTATGTGTCTAACTTGATATACTAACAACTTTATTCTAGTTAAGCAGAATGTATTTACCAAAATCTGGTTATCTGCTTTCAATCTGTCAATTGTTTAGAAAAGAGGTAGAGAATAATATATTCTCCCAAATATATCTGAGATCTAGCTATCATCACTGGATCTCTACCAAAATACATTAACACCCAGGAGATGGCATTTTAGTATACCATGGGTGCCTGTTAAAAAAAGCAAGGGTCAATTAAAGCCATTTAGGGCACCAGTAAAACCTAAAACAATTTTTCCCAACCACAAACCATCCAGATATATTAAAATTCAAATTCTGAATTTTCAGAAATAGTCACACTGGCTGAGAATTCAGGGAATCGAAGTCCACATATCTCAAGAAAGTTTAGGTTGATGAAAAGGCATTTTTAAAGGGATTATTTCCTAACATGTCCTTTCTTACTCTTCAGTTTAAAGAAAAAACGAAAAGCCAATTTCCTCAAAACCATACAATACTTTGCCTCAGAAGTTTTCCATTTTTAATCAAGAATGTGTTTCCTTTGAACCTTACTTGTTAAGAGAAAATTAGGAGACGTATAAACAGACAAGAAGCAACTATCAATCATGCAGTTTTCAAGATCAATACAAAATTGGAAAATTGAACACCTTTTTTTTCAAGCTTCTGAATGGTCTCTTCGGCTTCATTCTGTTTTGTTCTATACAAGCTCTTCAGTACCTCAATTTCATTGTTTTTTCTATCCAAAATCTATAACAAAAATATAAACAGAGCAAAATTGAAAAATGTCCATTTTCCACAACGTAATCTCTTTAAAAAAAAAACCACTGAACTGGGAAACTTATTGTTAAAAACTTATTTAGCCTTGGTATCAATATCTCTAGCAAAAGAGCACCTGAAAAACAAGGAAAATGTTATACAGAAAAGTGATGGGAGATTTCTTTCTTCAAGGCATCCATATCTTTTTACAATCTTATAAAGAATTTTGAAGATTAACACATTCTAAAGGCCACCACTAAAATACAAGTTAGAGTATTATTCTAAAAGTTCTGCTTAAATCATTTGAGATTCCCTCAAAGCAAAAGAAACATTTAAGATGACATATTCTCTTTATAGAATTGGTGTTCAGTTTTGCAAACAATAAACAAACAAAAAAAGGACTTATCTTTACTTTAAAATTCCATTGGACCTGCAGAGTATGCAGTCTTGTGATTTGACAGTGTTTTTTCTAAACTCAATAAATAACTACTGACACAGATGCCATTACAAGAAAGGATTCACTGCTACCACAAAAGACAAGTGTGCTAAGTGTGTCCAAGCTTCATTGACACACCTACTGTATTGCTAAGTGCATGTTGCTAGCCACCAAACAGCAGGTTGGTGTGCCAGGAATTCCTCTCTAGCCCACAATTCCACTTAATTTATCAACATGGCCCTTTCCACTCTACAAGGTATAAAGGCCTGCCATAGAACATTTCATCTAGAAACTCTACTTTCAGTCAAAATAATACTTCAAAAGGAAATAAATGGCAGTATTTTTATTATAAATCCTCTTCTTAGAACCTCAAGATATGATATTTTATTTACATATGCTTGATAATCAGGCTTTTTATATATTCAAATAAGGATTACTTTCCATATCATATTTTCTGGTAACTGCTTCATTTTTTTCCTCCCTCTACTCATATTTCTATGCAATCCAACAGTGTGAATAAATATTTTCTTTTCCACCTTTACTTACTAAATATTATGTATACTATATCATTTACAAATGCTTTATGAAACTAAAAGAAAATTCACTGTTTGCATTACCTGCAATAATGCAAATTATATGCAAACTATCGTTACACCTTGCATAGTTATGAAGCAATTTTATGTCCCTCAAAAAATGAAAAAGCATTTTGCCTCAGTGGCTGGCACGCATTTCCTGAACTGCCTTATTCCCTTTCCCCAATAAATAAAATTAACAAAGCAAGGCAGCATTTTCCTTAATGCTGATAAATCCAGAAGTCACATGTAAATAACAGAACAATAATATATGTAGCATAAATACTGGCTGAAGGAGAATAATCCCCAAAATTGGAGCCATGGTTATTCTTTCAATATTTTATTACATTTCACTCAAGGCAGTAAACCTACTTTTTAAAGGATGTATTTCCAATAATCCCATCTTCTTTTACTAGAATTACACATCCACATCCCACTCACCCACCCCCACACACCGACACATGCACAGAGTTGGGAATGTCTTCCAACATACTTTATCAATTTTCCTATTTTCATGAAAGTCTGGATACCAGATAAGATTACATGGTAAAACTAATAGATAAAATCAATACAATTCATTTTTATACTACTTCAATATCAAATACCTATATTACTCATCTTTATGTACTCAAGATACTTATTCACAGCTCAATCATAAACTTGCAGAAGTTAACCAACAAATATTTCCACTGACAAGGAACATTTTCCTTAATAAACAAATGAACTGGTATAATGTTTTTGACACTTTTGTTTAATCTTTACTGGGTTCTCTTTACTCAATCTTAGGATTTGTATAGAAAACAAATAACATTTTACATTACATTTATGCAGAAATATTGCACATTCAAAAGCATTAATATTTTCATCAATAAAACAACATCTGTTCAGTATTGGATTCCATTTAGAATATACCTGACTGGCATTTTCTACAGAAATGATTTGAGATTCATTTGAGCCTGTAAAGTTCCTACAGTATGATTCATGGCCCTCCTGGCTTTTCCAGGCAGCTAAGGAAGGGGTGCTGGCTAAATATAATGCCTCTTTGAAGGAGGATGCACTGAAAAAGGCAGTGGTACATTCTCCCGTGAGTAGAATTATTTCATTCAGCCACGCAAGGCCTCTTTAGTCTTCCTTTTTTTTAATGGATGACTTCGGATAATCCTGAAATAAGATTAGCCAGTTTCCAGACTCAGTCATGGGACAGAAATGACAGTGGTTACTTCAGCAGATTATATTTTGCTTGGGCCTGGAGGGAGTTCAACCCGCCAGCTCTTGATGGACATCTCAACAGCATTCAATATTAACCACTGAATCCTTCCATAGCATATAACTCAAGCCCTCATTGCTTCAATATTGGATTATTGCAAAGATTATTGCACAATTTGGAATAGTGTTCGAAGACCACTCAGAAACTGCAGTGAATTCAGAACAACCTACTTAAGAGTGGTTAAGAACTGCTACAGTAGGTCTGCATTGATTTCCACAGTTTCCAGGTACATGTGCTGGTTATTATCTGTAAGCCTTTTAAGGCTGAGGTTTGCAGAAAATCTCCTCATCTTGTATAATCTACACAGAAAGCAATATTCCACATTCCCCCCTCCAAGTTATATGAGAGGGGCGAAAATGTGGAAGTAGGACTTCTCAGTGACAGCTCTGGGACTATGGAACAGCATGTCTCAGAAGTTAGGGTAGCTGGCTTTCCAGAAGCAGGATATGAAGTATCATGCAGCACTCGCCAAGACTCGATTTTTTAATTGTAAATTGTGAACCTGACCTTTATGATTTTGTGTGGGTTTTAATTGAGTACTCTGTTGGTTTACTTTTCACATTTCTGAAGCACCATCTCCCTTGAAGTGGGATTTTATATGTGGATTCTGATCCATATATAATATGTGATCCATATATGGTCATTCTATTTGTTTTGGTTAGTGTATGTGAGAGTGAAAATAAAAATGTGGCAAGCTCAAATGCTGATTATGTGCTATCAAGTCATTGTCAACTCTTAGCACAGATAGATTTTCTCCGTTATGATCTGTCCCTAACCTGGTCCTATATTCAAATATACTTGATGTATCTGTATAAATCAACTGTTTTAACAAAAGGAAGCAGTTTGAAGTCCTAAAACAGATGAGCAGCTATTGATGGTCAGGAGACTTATTTTTTGGTAGATGAAAGTAGACCTTATTTCATTAACACAGAATGATAAGCGAATGACAGATTTTCTCCCTCTATCTCTGCAAGGTTTGGGGATTTCTTTTCTCCTTTGTTTTTAAACTATTTTAACTTTTCAGTACAAAACTGCATTGCCAAATCTCAGCATTTTTAGATAGATAGTATACCAGGATGCAAAAAAGGAATGCTGTGACAAATGTTATTCTATGCCTCAGGTTAGGTATCCATCATAAAATAATTGTTCTGAAATGACAGGAAATGCAATAATGATGGCAAGTGATGTGATATTTTCCTTATATCCATTAATGCATCATCAAGATTCATTATTTCAATTTATATCAATCTACTACTATAAATGTTTAAGTGCAACCAATGGAATACTAATGCCAACATTCGAATGTTACACAGGAATTTTATATTAGATATTTCTTTGTGTTACAAGTATTACACAAAAAATCCACCATATAATTTTAATCAACATACCTTTTGAACATCTGCATCATGCCTCTGCTGTAATTTAAGTTTTTCTTCATGAAGTCTAGCTTCCATCAATTTTGATTTCATCTCCAGCTGTAAATTGGATGTTGCACATACTGATCAGTTTCAGAGATGACACTTAACCCTTCCTTATAAATCAAAACAGCTTCAAGAAGCTTTAAATCTAAAAATAAAAAATAACGAAGACCCGTTGGCAATTTATCTAGCCTGCTGTGGATAGAACTCAAATGGGTTGATCTTTCTCTGATGATGAACTAAAGAGTCACCAATCTTACAGGTAATTAATTTCCTTGGGATAGAGAAACAGTTTTGATTCAGTCAAGCCCCTACAAGGTCATTCCTTGGCCATGAAAGAATGCTTTTTGACAAATTGGTCAATATTTCTTTTAAAATGTATTTAAGGAAACCTTGTGAATTCATATCAATAAAACTAAACATTGCTTGGCAAATATTAGCCAATTAACATTAATACCCTTTTTTCTGATGTTCACTGTTTTATTTTAAACTAGCTATACCCGGCCACGCGTTGCTGTGGTCCAGTCTGGGCATAGTGTTGCGGCAGGTGGGTGCTGCCTTTGGTCAGGACTCGGGGCTGCTGGGCCGGGCGAGGCTGGTTGGGGGAGACGGCGCCAGGGCTGTCGGCCTCATTGAAGTTGTTGAGCATCTCCTTGGAGGAGCTATGCTCGGGGTCCCCCAAGTCGGTGGCCCAGGAGAGTGAGACGTCCAGGATCTCGGAGGAGGAGAAGTCCTTGGTGTGCCGCCTCATGTGACACCCAGGGGCCGCCCCAGCCCCGCTGCACCTCAGGCTGATACCGCCGCCCCCCCCTGTCGGAGCCACCTTGGCGAGGCCGTAGTTGGCTCGCTGTGAGGGGGGTGGAGAGCGTGCACGGCCGGCCGGGCTGAGGAGACACTCCACCTCCGCTGGAGCTCCGCTGGGCTGGCCGGGGGTAGGCCAGCTTAAGGGTGGGGGGAGGTGGCTGAGGGATGGCACAGGTGGGGTCCCACCGCAGACAGCAAAGGCCCGGCAGGAGGGGAGAGAGGGGAGGGGGATGCTGAAGGGCTTCAGCTCCCCTTGGCGGAAATGGCCGAAGCTCGTCAGAGGAGGGGCGGAAAGGGGAAAGGGTGTGGCTGCAGCCCAGCCACACATATAAAGGGACCATCAGGACGAAGCTGGAGAGAGGCCGAACTGTTCCGAATATACTATACTCACTAAATGAACGCTATGGTAAATGACACAGCTTAATTCCAACGCAATGTCACACAAAATAAATCAAAATCTATGAAAATTCAATATAACAATGCAATCGGAAACACTGAAATGGAATCATGAAATATTTAGTATAGCATGTGCTGCTCTTACGTCCACCAGATGGCGCTGGAAACATTGAAATGGAATCATGAAATATTTAGTATAGCATGTGTTGCTTTTACGTCCACCAGATGGCGCTGGAAACATTGAAATGGAATCATGAAATATTTAGTATAGCATGTGTTGCTGTCACGTCCACCAGATGGCGCTGGAAACATTGAAATGGAATTATGAAATATTTGGTATAGCGTGTGTTGCTTTTACATCCATCAGATGGCGCTGGAAACATTGAAATGGAATCATGAAATATT